GGGTCTACACAGGTACTGTACACGAGTAGGGTGAGGTCTAGGGATCGAGCCCTGGGATCTGCATCTGCTACTGCAAAGAGGTGAAAACCATTTCATATCCCTTTTTTGGAACGTATCTCAGCGCATACTCACAATAGGACTTCCCAGGATGTTTATGACCGCTTTTCCAACTCGGACTGGATGCACCTTACCGGAATTACGTGCACAAAGAAGTGGAAAACGTTCTAGTGTTAGTAATGCCCTCAGAGAACCAGAGAAACTCAAATCACATGATATGAGAAGTTCACACTGGGCCTATCTTGTGGGGAAACTGAAAAATACGAAAATCCTCAGCCAGGTCCTCAGATCAAGCCCAACTGAGCTCAGCACTTCCTGCCTCCGGTGCAGCAGGCAGCGCCCCGTGACAGCACGGATGTTAATTCATCCAAGAGTAATGTTTCTCCTAAGCAATCAATTGAGATGCTGAAAAAAATCGAAGTATCTGTTTGAGCAGTGTTCTCTGCACTTTCGTGTCACATTTCCAGTCTGTTCTTCTTTTGTTCTTGAGTTCATATGGTTGGCTTCCCTTGGACGGTATGTGCTTTTCTTGCAGGGGTATGATGTGTGTAAATCGCATGAACATAGTTCATCGAGACCTCAAGAGCGCAAATTGCTTGGTGGATAAGCACTGGTCAGTGAAGGTCTGTGACTTTGGTCTTTCCAAAGTCACAACCGGAGAGCCAATATCTGGGAAAACAGCAGCGGGGACACCGGAGTGGATGGCACCCGAGCTGCTCAGAAGTGAGGCTGTCACTGAGAAGTGTGACGTTTTCAGTTTTGGGGTCATTATGTGGGAACTCACGACTCTCAAACGCCCTTGGGAGGGTTATAAGCCAATGCAGGTAGTCTGCCTTTGCTCCTGTCTTTTCTTATCCCTTTTGTTTGTTTTTCTCTTCCTTCTCCTCCCCTCCTAGTTCCTGTCCTTGTATGTTATTTCTTTTCTTTCTTTGCTTTTTCGTTTTCTTGGGGGGGTCACCTCTCTCTTCTGGGAGGAGTGCAAGAGTCAAGTCTTGCAACTCAGGGCATACTCACACGGGAACCTGATGACCTTAAATCCCAAGATTTGTTTTCGGGTGACATTGGAGAGGCCCGCTACCCAAATGTACTTTTTGATGACCCTTTTGTTAGCAGCCTGCGAGGCCGCGGTTTGCCTGAGCATTACATCCAAATTCCTTACCAATTTGAACTAAAAATAAAATACGGGAAATAAAACTAATATGCGACGAAACTCTTAGTTCAATCACCAGTGAGCGCACACCATCACACCACATGCATGTATGAGTTCACACGAAGTTCAATTTGGAGACCAGAGAGATTAAGACCAGGTAACACAGCTTATGAATTTCCAACAAGTTATTACAAGAGCAATAAGAGTTCAAGTCACCAGCGCTCATCAGCGCATGCCAAAGGTAACCAGTAACCAGCATAATCTCTCAGGTAAGTATCTCTTCCCCACTGCTCTTCTCTCTTATGTATCTCTCCGCCTCGTTGGTCTTCTCCCTAGCTATGTCCTCGCTGTGTCTTCTCTACCTACATGCGTGCACACTCACTAACTTCTATTCAAGGATCTACTCTGAATACACCCACTGATATGCCTACTAACTATCTGAAGTCTACTACTAACACTCTGCACTGGCGCAGCTGTGGCTGCCTTCTCCCTGCCAGCGCTAACACTTCCTCTCTCCCTCTCTCTCTCTCTCTCTTAGCGCAGCACACTGGCTTCCACGCTCTGCCCCTCACTACAGCTCACAAGTGCACCAGCACCTCCACACTTCTTGCGAATGAGCAATCTGCCCGAATGGAAGGCTGGCCAGTCCTTTTGTAGCCTTGGATCGCACTTCAACTCGTGCCAGCCTCTGGTTGTTGGGACCTGACTGGGTTCTGGTACCACATCCCCACGGCCTGTCTGCTTCCGAATGTCAAGGCCTGGAACCCTCCCGAATTTCCATTGGTCTGCTGCTGCTTGGGCCTTTGAGTCATGACTTTTCGATTTTGGCATATGGTTTTGACTGTGGACTGTGACTCCTGCCTCTGGGACATGACTCTTGCCTGTGGAACTGCCCTTTTACTCGTGGGATGCAACTCTTCAACATGACTTTCCATTATGAAACGTGATTCTTGCCCCTTAGATGTGACTGTTTGCTGGGTGCCTGTCGGACTGGACTGCTGAGGTACCCGACTGTGACTTTTCTGAATTTGACTAGTTTGGCCTTTCTTGGCCAGGGCCTCTGACCCTGTGAACCAAATTTGGGGTCTGAATCGTGGAAGGCCTTTCACTCTCGCCGGCCTAATTTTGAGGTCCTCCGAGAAAATTACCAATTTTATCTGTCTATTATGTTGACTCCTTTCTTAGCTCTCTCATAATAGGACACAATATGCAGTGCCGTCTCAATTAGCTCATCTCTTGTAAACCAGCGATCTTCTGAAGGTTCTTGATAGGCAAATCTAACCTCATACTGTTGCTGTGGTCTACCCCTGCGCCCAGATCTGTAAACATCTCCCCAACAATCCTATCCACATCATACTTACCATCCATATCAGGGGGAATCATAGATCTGCGTGTCGGAAACGTGTCGTTACTGACGCAAGGGAGTAACTTTGATGCATGAAACACCGGATACGTGTGCAAGTGTGGAGGAATTTCAACAACATACGAGGGACCATCCACATCACCGATGACATCCCGGATCTGCCACGGTCCTCTATAGGCAGGTAACAACTTCTGGGATATGTTCTCCTCATGGAGAAACTCTTTTGACTTCACGCGGACCAAATCTCCTACAGCAAATTGCGAGGGTCTACGGTGCTTATTAGCTTGTTCGATCATTTAATGTTGTGCTTGACTAATATTTTCCTTAATTTTTTCCAAATCTTTCTGGTATTGAACAGCAAATTCCCTGCTTCCTGGTGGAAGTCTCTGTACTTTATCAGGGTTCAGACTGTCAATGGGTCTACGAGGGCGCCACCCAAGATGTAGTTCAGTAGGCGTTCTTGATGTAGCTAGATGCACAGGGTTATTATAGGCACTTGCAACTTCTGGCAGATGTTCATCCCAGTTAATCTGATCGGCCCGGATGTACATGCGCAACACTTGCTGCAGCAACTTATTCATCTGCTCAATCTGTCCATTCGTCTCAGGGTGTCTACCTGAATACATAGTCAGTTTGGATCCATATACCTTCATCAGTTGCTGCCATTGCTCACCCGTGAACCGCGTATCCCTATCACTTATGATAGTTAAGGGATGCCCAAAATCTTTCACCCAATGATTAAAGAATTCCCTAATCACCACATCAGCTTTCGCTTCTACAGGAAGTGGAACAAACACAACAAACTTACTAAACATGTCCATTATAACCATAACTTGACTTTTCCCATTTTCTACTTCTTATTTTAGTGTCCATGAAGTCGATAGACACCGAGTCTCCAGGACCTGACGGAATAGGCAGAGGTTTGTGTAAACCAAGGGGAGGTTGTGTGGAACTCTTGTTCCGTTGACAAACTTGACAGCCTTGCACATAAGCGATGTGGTCATGTTTCATTCCAGTCCATGTGTAGGAATGCAGGAGGTTAGCATACGTATTCCTCCAGCCAAAATGTCCCTCAGTGTCATGGCATTCCCCTAGGATCAAACTTCTGATCTCTTCATTGTTTGGAATACACAGTCTATCATGCACATCCGTTTTTTCAAACAAAAGTCCTCGAGTTACTCTATAATCAGGAACTTCATGAGGCGCCTCTTGCACTTTCTTTATTAAAGCGCTATAGATAGGATTAACAGCGTATGCAGTCCTAACTTTCTCTTGCACTTCAGTGCCTACATCCAAATATGTCACAATGGCACCGAAGAAGTCAGATATCCTACTTAATGCATCGGCAACAACGTTATACTTACCCTTGACTGGCTTTAGTTCAAAGTCAAACTGATCAATTTCCTGATCAATCTCCCCAACCCACCTAGTCAGTTTAGGTGTCATCCGAGCCTGGGTTTTTAGCCAGCGAAGTGTCTCATGATCCAAGTAAACTTTAATGTGGCGTCCTAGTAGATAATGTCTCCAGTGATTCAATGCTTCCCTTAGAGCGAACAACTCTCTCTCATAGGTAGAAGCGGCGACTTTTTCACTAGGCATTCTACAGGACATGAATTCCACAGGTTTGTACCCATTCCCATCGTCTTGCTGGAGTACAACACCAATCCTGTATTGACTGACGTCAGTGGTTACGATAAAGGGTAGAGATGGATCTGCAACTTTCAACATCGGGTAATTAATCAAACATTTCTTTAATCGCTTGAAGGACGCAATACAATCTTGATCCCATTTCCAGATAGTTTCTTTCTTTAACAATATGCGCAATGGGGCAGCGATTACCGTAAAGTTCCGAACGAACTTGTGGTAATAGTTGGCCAGACCAAGAAACGAGCGCGGGTTAGGCCAATTTCTAATGGCTGCAATCTTAGCGTCTTCCGGTTTAATCCTATCACCATCTACTATATGTCCCATGTAAAGGACCTGGCACTTTGCCCACTCACACTTCTTTGGGTTAATCTTGAATTTCGCCTCTCGCAGTTTATTAAGCACAACTCGAAGGTGCTGCTCATGCTCGCTCAGACTCTTACTAAAAATCAGTATATCATCCAAATAAACAACAACCAACTTATCAAGCCAATCACGGAAGAGCTCATTCATACATCGCTGGAAGGTTGCAGGGGCATTTGTCAATCCCAATGGCACCACCACAAACTCATAGTGGCCATATCTAGTTCGGAAAGCCGTTTTATGTTGATCCTCGGCAATACCTCAATCTGATGGTAGCCCGATTTCAAATCAATCTTGGTGAAGTATCTGCAACCCTGAACTCTATCCAGGAGATCATATATCCGTGGTAGTGGCTCAACATTCTTAACTGTTATTGCGTTGAGTCCCCTATAGTCTATGCACATACGAAGTTCGTCGCCCTTCTTTGACACAAACAAGACTGGTGCACCGAATGGCGAGGAACTTGGTTTAATCCACCCCTTCTCAAGCAACTCATCCAATTGCTTTCGCAGTCCATCCAACTCTTTTGGAGACATCCTATAGATAGGGCCCTTGGGAATCCGACTACAGGGTTCTAGTTCTATCCGGTGCTTGATTTCTCTCTCAACCACTCCACTTGGGGCCTCTCCAACATCAGCGAATGGGGGGAATAAGTTCTTCCTCTTTCTTATTTTCACTCACCGGGCGCACATATGCAACAAACACTTGGTTGGCGAGGTCATTCTTGACCACATATCGGGCGAACGCGGGGTGCAACAAAGGGATGGGCTATTCTCTACGCCAGATGCATGGTAAAGTCGGATTTTCTTCTTTTCACATGTAGGACTAGGCAAACAACACGCATGCTCACCCAGCTTCGGCCTCACCCCAATCAGTCCCTAAAATCATGTGAAAAGGGAGATTGTCCTCCACCAAGAGTGTCAGGGAGTGCAAAACACATTCTACCTTTCCGCCTGCCTCCAACTGGATGTATGCCCTAACCCCTTCAACATAGCTATCTACTATCATTTCTCTATTGTTCGCTAGTGTACTTACAACGGGCTGTTCTAACTTTTGAACCTTAAGCCCTAACTGCGTCTTTTGCAAACTCTTCTTACTGATACAATTGCGTGTTGACCCATTGTCCACTAGTGTGCCAACCCTGACTCCTGTAACTTCTACATCTGCAATTATTAACTACCCTTTCCTTTTCTTTATTTCGGCCCAAGCGCGGCGACGAGTGATCAGTTCATCACGTAGGCTTGCGAGGGAACCACCTAGAGAAGTCCTAGCACAAGAAACTTCTAGGCAGCTAACTAGGTGGG